CATTTTAATTTTTAGAAGTTGATTAAGTACTTTCACATCATCTAAGCAAACTTGTATAAAATTCATACATTTTCCATCTAAATTTTGCAATTAAATATTTTCAGTGTGTCTGTGAGGAAATACTTGAGAAGACTATGTAATTGCCTTATGTACACTGGAGAAAACACTGAATTTTTAATGCATCATAATGCGAAACAACTTAATAATGTCACAAAGCTTGGATTGCTTTAACACAGCAAATTGGTGATTAAGAATCAAGTCTTCAGATACAACAAAGCTAAAACAAATTCCCTAGGATGCATTTTCTAAAAAGGGGAGACAAAGATCATCCTCCATGAACACAACTTTTAAGTTTTAAGTCATATGATTAAACATATTGTATAAGCCAACAATCTCAAGATGATAGTTGTAACGTTCTCCATAAATGGAAAAAGGTAATTTCTACATATCAAATCGTATCAAAACTCTATTGACTTCAATGAAACTTCTTTGATGGGGAGGGTGCCTTGTAGTCATTATTGATTCCTGGTGACTGCCTGGACAAGTCCCTGTTTTTTGGCAAACGATTTCAGAAGTGATTTGCCATTATCTCTTTCCTAGGGCTTAGCGAGAGAATGACTGGCCCAAGGTCATCCATCTGGCTTTGTGCCTAAGGCAGGACTAGAACTCCCAGTCTCCTAGTGCCCAATGCCTAAACAACTACAATACAAGTGGCTCTGTCTAATGGAAATTACTTCTAATTTAAATGTTAATTCAATATAAATTCCAAATAAATAAATCTGTAAGTATTTAAAATGTCCATTTCTAAGGCGACCAACTTTTTTACAATGAGAAGGAGGACACAAATAAATTAAAGAAAAAAAGTGACTCTAATGTGTGCGTGTGTGCTGTGTCGTGTTTTGGTAAAAAGTAAACAAAGCCACTTGCGTGCGGCGCACTCTTGCGCGCGGTGCACTCTCTCAAAACAATTCTCCTGTGCGGAGCGCATGCGTCTCATAATCGCGTCTTGACGCACTGTACCGCGCCTCGACGAATCGTCATGTCAAATACAAATATGTCACATCACACGCAACGGATCGGATCGGCATCGATCGAATATGGAGATTTACAGATTAGTCTTCAAATATCGAAAAGGAGGACATGTAGGAGGATACTTTTTGAGAGAGGACAGAACTTACAAAAGAAGGACTGTCCTCCCTAAAGGAGGACGATTGGTCACCTTGCCATTTCGAATATACAACAAATAACTTTTAACAATTTACAAGTATAATTTTCAAAAATGTCAATACTGTTTTCCTGAAAGTAAGGCCTATCCCAAAAATAAACCCTAGCTTGATTTTTGGGGGTCGACCTAATATAAGCCCTACCCCAAAAATAAGCTCTAGTTTTGGGGTGAGGCACCCACCTAAAAATCAAGCTAGGGCGGGGGTGGGGGGTGGACTGGCCCATGTGCCCCGCCCCCACTTACCTTGCAGCCAGGCCTCTCCTCGCCAGCCCACTTCTTCTGCGGCATCTTCTGCAGCCAGGCCTGCATTTCTCAGTCAGAGGCCTTTCCAGAAGGTCACTGCAGCCGAGAACCGAGCTATGGGTTCAATGCATAGCTCGGTTCTGCAAGACCTCTGCAGCCAAGAACCGAGCTATGGATTCAATCCATAGCTCGGTACTCAGCTGCAGAGGCCTTCTGGAAAGGCCTGACTGCGAAATGCAGACCAGAATGCAGCTGCAGAATGAAGCCGCTCTTTTGGCCACAGAAGAAGTGGGCTGGCTGAGTGGAGCTTTCAGTGCTGATGGTGAGTATAAAAGACATCCCCCGAAAATAAGACCTGGTGCCTCTTTTGGAGACAAAAAAAAAAAAAAAAAAGATCCAGTCTTATTTTCGGGGAAACACGCGTAGGCAATTAAATAAATGACCAGGTATGTTATGTCTATGTAAATTGCAAAAATACTTTATTTTAACTAACAAACAATGAAATAAATAATGCTATAGGAAGCAGCCCAAAGAGCTTAAAATACCACAATCACATGAAGGTTATGAAAGGAATTTATAATTCCAGCTTTCCCTAAGCTGCATTATGAAGCCCCATATTTTGTGTTGGAATTTTTGCATTTTCTAATACAGGCTTATAATATTTACAAAAGGTTAACCATAAAACTGATGTGTTTGACATCTAGACTTAGGATGTCCATTGGCTCAGTTATATCCAGCCCCCACAGCTTCCAGACACTGGAAGTGTTCTTGATAGCATCACTTGGGTGGGCAGAGGCAGATGTTCAGCTATCATCAGCAATACTAATGGTATTTAACCCCTTGCTGACAAATGACCTCATCTAATAGCTTCATGTAGATGTTCCATAAGACCTACACAACCATAGTCTAGCTCAGGAGTAGGCAACCTTAGCTCTTTTATGACTCGTGGACCAAATCCCAGCATGGCTGGCTCAGGAATTCTGGGAGTTGAAGTCCACGAGTCATAAAAGAGCCAAGGCTGCCTACCTCTGAGCTAGCTCTAAGCAGGTCCGAGTGATTTTATTCAATAAATGCCTAAAATAGTCTTCAAAGTGACTTCCTAAAGCAAGCATGTCAAACTGCCGGTCTGCGGACCGGATGCGTCAAAGTTCTATTAGCACCCTGATCCAGTGCCCAGGGCAAAATCCAGGACTTTGGGGCCTTGAGGAAACCTATCAAGTCTGGGGTGTCCATATATCAAGGGAGGCTGCTCTACAAGAAAAGTGCCAAGAGGAGGTGTTCATTTAATGATGGTTTGAAGCTAAAGAAAAGGTGACGATCCGTCCTTGAAGTCACAACCGTTGCTCCAGCCTCATGGTCACATGGTCACATGATCACAATTCAGGCATTAGGCAACCAGCTCACATTTACAATGGTTGCAACATCTTGCACTCATATAACCACAATTTGCGACTTTTCCAGCCAGCTTCCAACAAAGAAAGTCAATTGAGGAAACTGGATTCACTTAACAACCACATGATTCACTTAACAGCTTCACGATTCACTTAATGACTATGGTAAAAATGGCAGTAAAATTGGGTGCCGTCATGTGAAAACTTGCTTTATGACCCCACAGACTTTAGGATAGAAATTACAGTTTCAAATGTGGTCGTACGTTGAGGACTGCCTTCAGTCCAGAGTATACAGTAGCTACATTAAAATAAAAATTGAATATGAAAATCTCTAAAAAGCTTTGTTACTGTTAGTTCTTATATATCTTAGTAATGCGGGTTGACTCTAAATAATATTCTCATATCTGGATAAAAAAACCCCTAATAATATTCGCATTAAACACATGAAATGCATGGTATTTTACCCATTTGAATCATGTACACATTTGTAAACTATAACTTCAACAATAATATAAATCTGACAATATTTGGGTTAAAGCTTCTCATATTTTCCACCACTTTTCTTCTATTTAATAAACTACATACTCCATGGAAGAATAAATAAGATTTTCATATTACCATGAACATATGTCCCAAACTATCAAGTTGAAGAAAAAAATGTATATTTGTATCGCAGTCTTCTAGAATCTGATGCTCTCTCTGCCAACTGCTGGCTGGCAATACTTGAATTTTTACTCTGAATATATCTTGAAGATACCAAATTGAAAGACATGATACAAAAATAAACACCCCATTTTACTCCATGTCTCCCACAGCATAAACAGATTACATGTCTGTTAGATTTTTTTTCTAAGTTTTCTACTGTTTCTAGTGAACATTTTGATGTACACTTCTGAGGATGCTTTCCACTCAGCTTATTTCTAAAAGTATTTTGGGGGGATTCAAAATGATAACTATTGACACTTTAGAAAAACAAAACTATTTATCAACAACAACAATAAACTAAAACTAGATTTCTCTGAAGCTCAGCAATAGAATTTGGTCCCAAATTTGCTATACTCTCCACCCCCCACCCCCAAGTTCAAAACCAACAATGAAAGCTCTCACAAACTTACTGGGACTGGGAAGAAGATGAGCAGTATCCAAATAAATACACAATACTTCTCACCTATTTCAAACCTTTCTATTTAACTTACTAAAGTTGATTATGCTTTTGCCCAAGTGCTGTGGAGATCCCTTAGATCCCCAGCATGACTTTAGATGTGAAATCTAAAGCACTGAAGCCACCAATATGTAACTTGTGTGCAGGTACACAGGATTCCACTCAATAGAATAAGTTAGAGAACTAGCAAACAGAGTGCAGTTTGAAGGGGGGGAAATTCTAACTATAGAGAGGCTCCCTAATTCCAAAGTCTACAGTTACCTAATTAGTCCAAAGTTGTGGCTTAGTAGTTTCATTAAAAAAGCAGCAACCTACAATATCACCATTTTTATTATTCCGATCCTAGAAGCTGCTTAGTAGTTTCATTAAAAAGCAGCAACCTACAATATCACCATTTTTATTATTCCGATCCTAGAAGCTGCTTAGTAGTTTCATTAAAAAGCAGCAACCTACAATATCACCATTTTTATTATTCCGATCCTAGAAGCTGCTTAGTAGTTTCATTAAAAAGCAGCAACCTACAATATCACCATTGTTATTATTCTGATCCTAGAAGCTGCTTAGTAGTTTCATTAAAAAAGCAGCAACCTACAATATCACCATTTTTATTATTCCGATCCTAGAAGCTGCTTAGTAGTTTCATTAAAAAGCAGCAACCTACAATATCACCATTTTTATTATTCTGATCCTAGAAGCTGCTTAGCAGTTTCATTAAAAAAGCAGCAACCTACAATATCACCATTTTTATTATTCCGATCCTAGAAGCTGCTTAGTAGTTTCATTAAAAAAGCAGCAACCTACAATATCACCATTTTTATTATTCCGATCCTAGAAGCTGCTTAGTAGTTTTTCATTAAAAAGCAGCAACCTACAATATCACCATTGTTATTATTCGGATCCTAGAAGCTGCCGATCCCAGAACGGTATTCTGCCACCGCTAACGACCCCAATGCTTATAAATCTAAAGTAGCGCCCTTACTTTTACGAAGAGAGAAATGTCATATTCCTGTTTCTCTTGCCCAGGCGCATCGAGGGGGACAGTCGGCTCCCCTTCTACAGTCGCTTCTTCTTCTTCTTCTTCTCCTCTTCCTTGCACGCCATTCAACCCCAGAGCATCTTCTACTTCTTCAGCCTCTTCGGCGGATCCGTCAACAGGTTGTATGTGGCTGCTGAGTTCCTCAGCCTCTTCCGGGGATTCCACCGCTGCAGAATCCGCGGACTGCACCTCCTGCTCCTCTTCTTCTTCTTCGGCGCTCGCCTCAGGATGATCCTGGGCGCCAACTTCCCCAGTACTGGCATCTGGTGAGCTTTGCTCCTTTACTTCTGCTTCTTCCGCAGCGAGATCCTCCTCCGCCGCCGGAGTTTCTTCAACGGGGCTCTCGCTAGGAGGGCTGTCTCCCCTCAGAGTTTCCTCTCCGGTCCGCCACTGCTCCTCCAGCGGGCTCTCGCTATCCGCCCCGCCCTCCTCTGGTCCTTCTTCCCCAGCAACTTCGGGAGACTCTTTTTCGGAGCCTTTTCCCGCCGGGTCTTCCTCTCGCTCGTCCTCGGCTCGCTCTTCCGATCCTGGGATTTGCTCGGCTGCGCTTTTTTCCTCCGCGGGCTCCTCTCCTTCGGAGGCGTCTTCCGCGCCGGCTGGGCTTGCCCTTCTTCGGCCCTCTCCCGCCGGCTGCGGAGGCTCCTCGGGGACAGCCGCCTCGTCCCAGGTGTTGCTCTCAGGCTTTTCCTCGGGGCTTTCCGCGCGGGTTGTGCCTTCTGCCCTCGGGCCGTCCGCTGAGCCGACTTGCTCTGCAGGTGGCCCCGCTAAAGTCGCCTGACCCTCGGGCTCCTCGGTCGTTGGGGTCGTCTCTCCGCTGGTCGTCGTCCCGCGGCTCCCGCCTTCTTCCTCCGGGTTTTTTTCTTCCGAGGCTTCTTTCAGAGGGGCGCCGTCCTCGGCGGGGCAGGCGGGGCGCCCCTTCGCCTTCTCGCCTTCGCCTTCGCCCGCCGGCGCTCCGTTTTCGCCGCCCGCGCCTTCCTTTAACGCTTGTTCACTATTCTCGGCCGGTTCGAGCGACCCTGGCGCCTCTGCCATGCTGACCTCCTCAGGAAAAAGGACGGACCAGTTGCAGGTGGCAGCTTTGCCTCCTCTCTGCCTAAGGGCGCCGAGCTCTTGGCCGGCTCGCCCTCCCGCAATGGCGACTCTGTCCTCCCCGCGCTCTGTAAGGGATTAAGACTAAGACTTGCCCGGCCCCAAGGGTCACATTCTTGACTCTCCACTAGGTAGCCTGCCCGAGGGGTGCGCGCATGCTCAAAGGCGACCGGCGAAGCTACCGTCCTCACCTTTACCTTTCGAGGGCATTGAAGAAGACCCAAAAGGGGAAAGAGCAAACCTATATCCCCAAACTTCCTATCTAAGAGACTACATTTTTTTTTCCTCTGTATTGCTTAGGGTCCTACCTGATTTTGCCTTCCTTATCTTGTTTTGAACATGCAAACAGGCCTATAACTATACAGGTAGAGGCAATCACCATATCCTGTTAGAAAATGGTTTTCGGGGTGGGTGGGGGCAATTGGTATGAAATGTACTTGACTAGATTTGGATTGTCCTGTCCCTCCCTGGATTCAGGACTCCGTATCTTCATCTACATCAGGGGTAGTCAACCTTGGCTCTTTTATGACTCGTGGACTTCAACTCCCAGAATTCCTGAGCCAGCACAGCTGGCTCAGGAATTCTGGGAGTTGAAGTCCACGAGTCATAAAAGAGCCAAGGTTGACTACCCCTGATCTACATAGATACTGAATGCACATCAGAAGAGATGTTTTCTGATGTGCCATAAAGACATGGGACTCAATGCACATTTACAGCACATAAATTGCTACTTGTAAATTTTTTTAAGTGGAAACTATTGGCAGGGGCGGGCAACGATGCATTATTTGATCTGGTGTTGTTTTTTTTTAAAGAAGAGTAGTATGATAGAGTGTGGATGTGAAGTTTCCAGTAATCTTAATACTGTACACTTGCTTTGCTCTTTTAAAAGAAAACAAAAACATCCCAATCAAAAGAGAGAAAAATTGCCTCTGTCTCTCCGACGATATCACAGCTACTCACCCCTAAAAGCAGTGTCAATAAAATGGAATGAAACTTTAGAGCAGGGGTAGTCAACCTTGGCTCTTTTATGACTCGTGGACTTCAACTCCCAGAATTCCTGAGCCAGCTTAGCTGGCTCAGGAATTCTGGGAGTTGAAGTACATGAGTCATAAAAGAGCCAAAGTTGACTACCCCTGCTTTAGAGTGTAATGGAACCTTCTGTGCAGGAAATTTATATGTATAAAACTCCCATTTTTCCATCTGGATTTTTTGAATTGCCTGCGATGTATATATAGGACTGGCTAAGGATAAAGTTAGAATGGTCACGTTATCCCAGCCTCATCAGTTAATGCAGATCCATCCATTTCAGTTTGTCAGAAATGGTTTCCTCTCTAGGCTCATAATATTTATTGGCTGAGTGCCTCGACATCACACCCCCATCACTTCGCAAGTGGACTACTATAATATGCCCTAAATGGGACTGTACTTGAAGACATTTGGAAGCTGCAGTTGATGGCAAATGTGGTGTCCAATCTAAACTGAGGCAACTCGCTATTTTCATATAGCACCAATTCTGTAAGAGTGGCATGCTGGTTAGTTCCAGGTGCAATTCCAAGTGTTGGTACTACTGTATGTTTAAAATCCTACATAGCTTGGCATCTGGCTATATCTGATATTGACTAATTCAAAGAGAACCAGACTAGCAAGTTGTGCCTGTAGCAACTATTTGTTGAGTGTCCTCACACCTCATAAGATACACAGCGAGATGAATGTCCTCTATAGGAGCTTCTCCCCTGTGAAATGCCGAGTCCCTAGACTTAAGATCCATGCCCTGAAATTAGGTACTGGAGACCTGATTCTTTCAAAGAGTGTTTGGGAAGTGAGGTATGAGTGGATAAAGTTAATTGGGTATACAGTGAATTTTGCAATAAGTTAATATGATTTACAGTTCTCTAGTTATATTATTATAATTATTTCATTATGTTAATATGTATTAAATATCATGTATTGAACATATTTTATACATTAAATATGCATTAAAATAGTATTTTATCATTAATACTATCTGTATTATTGTTTTATTGTGCATTAAGTTATTACAAGTCACTTGATATTAAAGCAGTACAAAAGATATTTAATAAATGAACAAATAGAATTATATTGAGCCATGGTGATTTTAACTACAAAGCAAAAACGCTGGAGCCTCCGAACACTAAATTAAAACCCAACACAGCAGATTATTGTTTAGCGCATAAATTACATAGTGGGAGACTGAATTTAGTGATGTGGGTATTTACTAGCAATCTCTTTTATTCATTCCTAAAGGGTAGCCCTAGAAATATTCACAGAAGAGAGATGTGCCATGATTTAATTATATAACAAATCACTGGGCGCAGAAGGAATCTGGCTTAGTTCCTATTGTCATGTTTGTTTTAAAGATAAAATGTTTTCTGACGGAAACCTTGGGTAGCCACTGTCAATCAAAGTACAAAAAAAATGGACTACAGGGACAAATACAGTTTTGAATTGTAAGCTGCCCATAGTCATTGAGTGAGATAGGCAGTTATAGAAATTGAATAAATAAAATATTTTGACCTGGCAGAGGTCACATGCACCAAGAAATGTTCCCAGTTAAGAATGTATACAATTAAATCAATAAAATCTAGAACATAGAACATAAAACATAGAATAACAGAGTTGGAAGGGACCTCAAAAGTCTTCTACTTCAACCCCTGTTCAAGTAGGAGACTCTGCACCATTCCAGACAAATGTCCAACCCATCAAAATAATGGGACTTCTAGGGAGATATGTGGAGTGCCTCCTGACTCATTGCTATCACGGAGAAACCTCTATTGGCTGATATTTTTGGCAGTAAAGAGTGCATCTATTCTTTAATGTGTTGATTTCCATCATTTGTGCTTAATCATATTAATGCCATGCACATCAGATTCCAAAATATATATTTTTTTCTTCTGGGAAGTTCAAGTTTTATAAAATGAGGTACAATTAGGAAATGAAACCTATTAGGAAATAGGTTGAGGAAACAATTAGGAAATGAAAGGCAGCTAATTGTGCAAAAATTAGAGGAGAGTTTTAAAGTGCCACAATTGATGCTTCTACACTTTTTTTCTTGTTTGCCTTCTTTTCTGTTTCGTAGTATAAAGTTCAGAGATACCCGAAAGGCTGGCAATTTCAAACTGCAATTCTAAATAGAGTCCACCAAAGTAAGAAAGATGTATATTGAGTAAAACTGCACACAATTGTTATGGCAGAATCTTTTGTGGCTAATAATGTTTTATATAGTGCACTGTTAAGTACATTAGCTGCTACAACACAGAATGTTATTCCCAAAACATTTCTTCCCAAAACATTCCTCCCTCATTTAATAAGGGATCACTGAATTATTTGAAAGTGCAGAATCGTATCATATGCCATGGATTCCCACTGAATCATTGATAACCTTGTTGCTTATTTATTAGCATAATGGCTGGTATAATTAGATTGTAGGATATTAAGTGTCTTTCATTCTGTCATGTAAACATTACAAAAGAGCCACTGTGAATAATGTAGAGAATAACATATAGAAGAAAAATTGAAAGGTTCTAATGTTGAGGTGATTGCCTTACAAGTAGTTGCAATGATCTTGATATAAAATTTTTATAAATTCTTATAATTCTTATATTATTTGACTTAGTTAACTCATATATAAAATACAACTTAAAACCCATTTTTTCTAAAAATATAAAGGCTAAAATTAATAATTAAGTAGGTTAACAATAAAAGACAGAATTTCAAGGACAAACACATACAATCTTAAATAGATTAGCAGTATTTGCTTATAAATTTTCAGGGGCTTTCTGCAAAACAATAGATTAGCTTTACAAATAATTGCCAGAGTCAGGCAAAGTGTTGTTTAAAAATGGTTTAAAAATTACCTTTGCAACAAGTAGAAGAATGTAGGACATAGATACAGGCATGGGTTTTCAGGAAAGGTCAGTAAATAACTTTTCAGAGGTTATTTTGGTCCTATAATGTTAACAAGCTATAATATTACTAAGCAAAATAAGCCTCTCTTTAAAAAAAAAAAACACCTATAGCATTATT